AAAATTTTCGAGAGTTCCAAGACCCCCAAAATAACCTACCAAATCATACCAAGTAACACTAACATCCCAGCGAACGTTAGTATATACCCTGAAATCCAGGATGAATTGTGCTAATTCAAGGCACCTATATGTTGAATCTATACACTACTCCTTGTTACTTTCTGGGATTTGTGCCCTTCAAATAAATACCAACACCTTGTACAAAATAAAGTAAAATAAAATTAATTAATTTGAAAAATAAATAACTAACATATTAATGCAAGAATGCTATGATACACACCGCTTTTTACACACCCATCAAGCCACTCAAGCAACAGACTGCATTTTATTTCTTATTGGATGCTGACTAATAGAGACCACTTTGCAGCTAGCAGAACCAATAGTAACTTTTGCAGCTTTCAAGATTCTTCCTCTTTGCCTGTAAACAGTACGAATGGTGGATGCAGGCACAGTCAAAGCAAGCACAATATCTTTATTTTATTCACCACCATTGAAACGTTTAAATTACATCCAGTTTTACACTGTGTAACACACTGGTGAGCTCTCTTAGGCCTTTCTGATACCTTAGGACGCATTTTGCTAACAGATGCACAAAACAAATCAAGATAAAGCACAGATGCACACAAACACAGTTCAAGCTCTGGCAGCTCGATGCTGAGACGCTGAGGACCATTCTAGGGAAGGAGCCTGGCTGTGCCACTCTTGCTGTGTGCTGCTTCTGTAAAGACTCATTGCAAAACAAACGCTGAATGCTATTCTTGATATTCATCATTCTTTCTAAAAGAGAAAATCCTCTTTGGATTTCTATCAGTTAGTGAAAACAGGTACTGGTGCATAATACCACTTTTGTAAATGCTATGTGGCAGAATATGAACTTTCAAAAGGCAGAGGATACCTGTCCATGTGGGATTAGATTTCAATAACATTTACCTATTCTTCTGTTGCATTAAAAGAAAAGAGGAAGAAAGCCATTCTAAAATGAATGTCCTTATCCATGTCCGTGGTAATAGTAGAGATGACCTAAAATGGTGAATAATCATCCACAGTTTTTTAAAATGTAGGTTTTACAATTTGTTTTTCTTTAACAATTTACCTTTGAGTCATACTTTCATACACATGTACTAAAACAAGTTTCATTCTCTTAATGCCTTAGCAGTAAAATATAATGGTCAATAGTGCAGAGCCTGGAGTCTGAGCAAAGTGACTTAGCTCTCTGAGCTTTGGGTTACTCATTTTTCAAGTGTAGGCAGTACTACCTACCTCTCAGACTTGCTATAAGGATTAAATGAGATAATATACGTGAAACAATTATAATGATCATAACGTAACATATAATGGAGCACATAGTAACATGCTCAACCAATAGCAGCTGTTGTTAGTTTGGCTATTATTATTTTTTCCTATTTCTAAAACTGGAAAGAGACCTTTCTGAAACATGCTAAGTAATAATGCCTAGTCTGAAAATAAGTATTTTTCTTGGATAAACCACCAGGTGCAAGGCAAATTTGAATAAAAGACCCTTTCTTTTTTTTTTTTTTTTTTCCTTTTTAAGAAATGGTGTGGTCTATTACATTCACAGACTATCTGGCAAGCTACCACAAAGGAATAGTAGCAGCAATTAATTAGTAAACAGGTATTCAAGTTGAGTTGATTTATGGGAATTTTTAATAATGTCTTTTAAAATAAATATTTATCCCTGGCTGGGTTGCTCAGTTGGTTAGAATGTCATCCTGTACATACAAAAGTTGTGGGTTCAATTCCTGGCCAGGGTCTGTATGGGAGGCAACTGATTGATATTTCTCTCTCACATCAATGTTTCTTTCTCTCTCTCTCCCTGCCTCTCTCTCTAAAATCAATGAACATATGTTTGGATGAAGATTATAAAAATAAATAAACAAAATAAATATTTAAACATTTGTGTTATAAATATCAAAATAATAAAATGACATTTCAATAGAGTAATGTTTATTTTTTTCTTTCAGGCTTATGAAACTCTGCTCCAGAAGGTACTTAATAAGAATCTCTCTTTCTGATTAATCAGAGTAATGAAACCAAAAATATTCAGATTCATCTTCAAGTAATGTGACACCAGAATTTAGCCAACTAAATCAAAGTTATTATCTCATATTTTCTATTAAGACAAATGACACTACTACTATTATCAGAAGCTACTTGTTATATTGTTTTCATAAAAATTGAAATATGAGATCTGAGCTGAAAAATATTTAGAATAGTATTTTTCAACACATTGCTAGAGAGAATTACAGCCTTGGCTCAAAAATCCCTAAGAGTATTCTTCTAGCATGTGTGAGATGATGAGCTATAACAATGTTGTTGCAAATCTTCTCTGGTGTTATATATTCAGCCCTACTCACCCCTGTGAGTGGGGTACTGGTGAAGCTGGATCAATGTTCATTATTAAGAATCACTAAAGCAGAGTTCAGTCACTGTAGTTCCTCACCATAGGTGTCCACCAGAAAAATGCCACTTAACTTGTCATTTTGCTGGGTCATTATATGTCATTATAAAAAGCATTCAAATAGCTTAGAAAGTAAAGGCACTGTGAAAGGTGGCACTTCACTTAGAGCCAGGGTTTAATTTGAACCTCGGGAAGATTAAGGCTCGAATTATGAGTTAGAGTTTCTCAGAGTGGGAAAACGTCACTAACAGGGAAACAAGAATTTCTGAGAAATTCTTGGGTGGAAAACAAGGTCAATTTACAGTGCAAATGCAACCTGCTATTAATCAAAGCCATTCTTTGTAACATCCACTAATGAGAGCTAGGGTGGCTGGTGTCTTGAGTCCTGCCCTGGTCGGTGATGCGACCATTCTCAGAGCAATTTTCCTTTTGTCCCAGAATCAGGGAATCCAGAGTGCAGCCCATGATGCCCTCCTCAGCCAAGTGAATGAGCTCAGGGCAGAGCTGCAGGAGGAGAGCAGGAAAGCTGTGAGCTTGAAGAGCCAGCTGGAGGATGTGGCCATTCTGCAGATAACGCTGAAGGAGGTAATTAATGAGAATGGAAAGATACCATCAATTGTAAGTTACATTCTAATTTTAAGGTTGTTAAAGAGTGTGTCTTAACAACACTATGGTTGTTTTATTTTTTCAAATGAGAAAAATGAGGCTGCAAGTGGTTAGATAATTTGCTTAAATTATACTATTAGGAGAAAAACTGGGATTTATATTTACATCTGTTCTCCAAAGTCTTTGCTCTCTTTTGGTGTTCTGCTTCCTTAACAGCAGAAACTCAGACACCATGTTAATTTACTTCAAAGAATCCTCATTAATTCCAAGAAAAGTTTCTATCCCTCTTTTAATTGGTTCAAGTCTTCGAGTTGACTGGCCCCTTGTAGACGGGGAGATGGATGTAGAAAACCTCCCACCCAAGCCCCACTTTGCAACAGAAAAGGGAAATCTTGTGCAAGACAATAGATTTTCAAATTTTATCTCAATCACTCTATTATCATTCTTAGTTTCAGGAAAGAGTTGCAGATTTGGAAAAAGAACGAAAATTGCTCAATGACAATTATGACAAACTCTTAGAAAAGTGAGTACCAAGTTTGCATACCAAAGCTTTGTTTGTTATAAAAGGTGATGATAAAAAAGTGCCTTTCCATTTTAAAAAATAATATATAGTGTTGATAAGGATGTGGGGAAATTGCTATTCAATACTGTTAGATAGAACATAAAAATTGGCACAGTCTTTTTGGAAGAGAATTTGACACTATCTATCAAAATGTTAAATCATTGTATATATTTTGTGCCAGGAATTCCATTTTTTTGTAATCAGAACTAAAGAAATCTTATTGTATATATGCAAAGATATTGTAAAATAACGGTGTTAATTACTGCATTGTTAGTAATAATAAACAATAATTAGAAGGCATCCAAATTTCCTTTGATAGGGATTGACTAAATAAAATCATGCTGCATTCCCACAATAAAATAAAATGAAGGTGTTAAAAATGAGATAGATCTCTATGCCTATTGTTAAATAAAAAATTAAGTTGCAGAAGAATACATTAACTCTGACTTAAAATGATTAGAGTAGGGTAAAGAGGCACCTTTATTTCTGTTCTACACACTTCCACATCATTTTAATTTTTTATAACACACCTACATTCATGTATTATCTTTGAAATTAAAAATACCAAGAATTTTTAAAAACTTAAACGTGCCTTCTTACTCAGTTGTAGGCAGCAGAGGGTAGATTGGGGAGGCTGTATGAGAGCATCCTAGAAACAGCTGATGTTTTTCAACTCTGTGAAATGTATTAGTCTGGGGGTTATCCACGTTGAAGCGCCCCTGTTATAAACACTATTATTGGCCTCTTGCCTCTATCATTCAGAACGTATCTTCTTGGATCATCATGTAATGTATGACCCAGACATGCCAAGAAATCTCTATATTAGCCTAAGTAAATTATTTTTACACCACATTTATTCAAATGATAAGGGGGAAAAAAAGACATAAGCAGAAATAATAGTTCGATTATCTATATCGCTTCACTTGTGTAAACAATCAAGGACTGCCTTTGTGTGTTTTACTTTCAAAATGGGTCTCCCCTGACAGCTAGATAAAATGCGTGCAGGGTACAGTTACTGTAAAGTTGAAGCTTTTGGTTCCTGCCCTTTAGTGTAATAATCTATCATGTAATTCAAAGGCAAGTGCTCTCTATACCAGCCATTGATGATGGTAGGCAGAGGAATGAAGTAAGGAAAAGAGGAACATTTCACTCCCCATTTCTAATCCAGCAGGCCTGAGACTGTCTTGTTGCACAACTCCCGCACTGAAGAAAGCCATCATGGTGGAGAAAGTCCTTGGGAAATAGATATGACTTCGTTGTTTGTTCAGTGGGCTATTTGAGACCTAAATAGAAGGGATACTAAAGAACTCAACAGGACCCCAGAATTCCAAGGCAGTTGGTAAATGACAGTTAGAGTTAAAGCAGGGGCAGAAAAAACATGTAGGGGAGTGAATGATGAACTAGGCCCAGGAGATGCTGAAACTGTATAATAAAGACATTTTATCAAACACTTTCGAGTATCCATCTGATAAGACCCCGCTCCCTCCTTACATGCTTTCCGTGGTCAGCATGCTGGACAGCAGTAATCAGCCTCACTGGAGCAATGAGCTTGTAGAGGAACAACTGCAGCAGAAAGTCTCTCAGTTGCAAGATCAGCTGGATGCTGAGCGGGAGGAGAAGAGAAAAGTCTCACTTCAGCTGTCCAGGGAGAAAGGTAAGTGGGGTCTTGAAGAGCTGTCTCAGTTGGTTTGGGAGAAGGGAACATGGGTTCCTGCAAACCCCCACTTGGCCGCGGATAACTGAAATAAGAGCGCTGACAGTCAGATCAGGCTTCCAGTCTAGAAATCATGATTCCCTACCTCGCATGTCTACTTGTTTCTACATAATGGGTTTCCACTGGAAAGGATGCCAATTCTTAACTTACTATGTTTTTAAACATTTATTTATTGAAAGTATTGAAAATGAAGTTGTCTGCCTTTTATTCTTATTAATCATTTTAGAGGTGATTGAGAGCCTTTTTTTTTTTTTTTCCTTTTTAAACATCTGATACCTGAAATAGAGAAGCAAGTTACTGCTCTTTGTTCCCACTACCATTTCCCCCATCCGAACTCTTGGGTCACAGTAGACAGTTATGCCAAAGATTCTTAGGGGCTTACCGCACTGAGAACAGCACGTTCTGTGTTTCCTGGCTGAGGAGGCAATTGGCAGGCAGGGTAGTGGCCCAGCATTTTGTCCTTTTGGCTGAGTTGTTTTAGTTGCTTAGTTTGTATAAGCTGCATCAGAGGCCACATGTCAAAATATTAAAGCCAAAAAATTAAAGCTGATTAATCCCCACATTAAGATTCGCATGGAAAATAGCCATACTGGACTTCTGGAGCACAGACTTTAACTTTGTTGTATTAAGCCATAGAGATGTAGCACACATTTGTTACTGCAGCATACACATTTTAGTGTATCTTAAAAGTGAAACAAATATAAAGTTTGAAAAAAAGACCCTAAAATTTTTAACTACTATCAAAAAGACTTTTGTAACACTTCTTTTTGCTAGCCTAGACCTTGCTATTTAGTCTTATCAAACTTCTGTTTCATCATATTCTAGTATATTCACATAGGAGAGTGAAGAAAGAGAACTATCATGTCAAGAAAAATAGAGACAGTCCCAGGGATTTAAAGCACAGCACAAGGAGTTAGTCAATAATACTGTAATAATTATATGGTGCCGTTCGGTTACTGGAAATATCAGGGGGATCACTTTGTAAAGTATGTGATTGTCTAACCACCATGCTGTACACCTAAAACTAATACAAAATAATATTGACTATAAACTATGATTGAAAGAAATAAAAATAATTTTAAAAAAAAATAGAGGCAGGAACCATGAAAGGATAAAGCTGGGAGAACATGTTGAGGACCTTGTAGTAGGTATGAAGTACAAGTGAAATCTAACAAAGACCTTAGAGTGCTCTGGCTGCGTGGCTCAGTGGATTGAGTGCCAGCCTGACCTAAAGGTAGCTGGTTTGATTCCTAGTCCAGGCACATGCCAGGGTTTGGGCCAGGTTCCTAGTTGGGGGCATGTGAGAGGCAACCAGTCGATGTACCTCTCACGCATTGATGTCCTCTCCCACTCTTTCTGCCTCCTTTCCCCTCTCTCTAAAAGTAAATAAGTAAAATCTTTAAAAAGAAAAAAAAAGACCTTATAATAATATAATATAACCCCTTGCTTAATGCATGATAATGGAATAATCACCTTTCTTCCCTAAAGCACACACTCACACATACACAGGTGCCCAAATGCCCACCCTCCCTCCATAGGGTGGGTGTGGAGTGGGTGCCATAGAGAGTCAGTACCATATAAGTCCAAATGGATTTGGAGAAGAGTTGTTGCAATACTGATTTGGGTGGTGCTCTCAAAAAGTTTGAACTGTCCCATTCAGTCAACTGGTTCTGTTTTTGTTTGTTGTTGTTCTCCCTTTCACTCTACAGTTCTGCGGGTGTTTTTGTTTTGTTTTTGTTTGGAGTCCAAAAGTCAACTACATTTACTGGGTTAATAAGCTAGAACTCCTTAGTAGAAATAAGAGAGAACTGCTACTCTAAGGACAAATTTATATACTAAATTAAAAATTAGTGGGAAATTTTTATTTATACTTGGTCCAGCTTTAACCACGGTTACTGATAACTGCAGAGTTTCAACTTTCCATATTACCTTTCCTCCAGATCAAAACAAGGATCTGAAGCTTGAAGTCACCAACCTGCTTCAGAAACATAAACAGGAAGTAGAGATCCTCCAAAACAAAGACACGATTTCCCAATCTCCTGACAGTCCCTCTGAACCAGCCACACACTCAGCTCTATTCCAAGAGGCCACTCCAATAGAGGTATGTGCATCTTTAATCAAGCAAGCCCCCTCCAGAGAGGGACCTCTGAAAAATATCCCTAGAAAAGATGAAGGGATCAGAACACTAACTGAATAATATTTTGTCTTGATTGAGGACAGTATTTGGAAGAATATGAGAAGACTGAGAACAGAGATAGCTTCATGAGCTCCACACGTTTCCCTACCCTTCACAGCTTAATTTTTTTAAATCTTTTGCAGATGAGGACTTGAAATGATTTGCTGCAGAGCAAACAGCCATTAGAGACTGTATAGAGACTGTATGCCTTCCTCACTGCTGTTACTGAGCCTGAGGATCTAGGAGAGAAAGAGAGCACTTGCGAATTGACACAAATCCTCTTTTACATTTTGGAGTAGATTCTGCAGCTAGTATTTTACTATTACCAACCACTGCTTTATGGAGAATATGTATTGCTGTACCTATTATATTTATGCGCCCTTCTATCAATGCTTTTCCCTCTCTAGCTCTGTGAACCAAAAAACCAAGAAGAAAAGAAACTGTCCCAGATGTTAAGTGAGTTGCAAGTATCGCATGCAGAGATCACATTGGAACTAGAAAAGACCAGAGAAATGCTTATTCTGCAGCACAAGATCAACGTGTGTTATCAGGTGCAAGAAAAGGTGGTACAGGAAGGGGATAGATAAATAAGCACATGGGAACCAATTACAGGCCTGGGAATGAAGCAAGACCTGAGATTCCAGGGCTAATGCAAGGTGATATACACTGTCCTGTGCAAACACAGAAAGTGCTGTCCTTTGAAAAACCTGAGGTCTCACACATGCCCATGGCACCCTGGCAACAGGAGCCAGTGAAGGGGCCAGCTAATGAAAATGGCAGGTGTGAACCTTCTGGGTGTAAATTTTGCCAGTCCCAGAAAAATTCTACCCTACTAGCAGTACCCGTCCTGGAGGGGTCTGTGAGGAATCCAAGGTTTTCCTAATGGATGAATTTGCTCTGTTAAGGAGGGAGTCTCCTTCACACAGCAGGTATCAGCTTTTATCTAGGTTCTTTATTTTTGGGCCACTGAGATAGAAAAGTTTAGACATTATCTTGTTTCAGGAAGAACTGGAGGCAATGATGACAAAAGCTGATAATGAAAACAAAGATCACAGAGAAAAACTGGAGAGGTTGAATCAACTCCTAGACCTCAAGAACAAACGTATCAAGCAGCTGGAAGGTATTTTAAGAAGTCATGGCCTCCCACTATCCGGCAAGTCTTAGTATTTTGTTCTCCTCACTCTGGGACCTGTCACACGGCTAATGTCTGTGCTGTTCTCTGTGTATGTGTCTGGAAAGCCACCTCTTATGTCCTTGGCATATAATTTATCTCTCCTGTTCTTTATCCTTTGTGTTTCGATACATGGTTAACAGCTTCTTTTGCTCCATCACATCATGGTTAACAGCTTCCTTTGCTCCATCACATCAGCCTCTTTCTGATGTTTCTGGAGAGTTTCAGCAGGGCCCAGCAATTGCTAAATCTATTTTGAGAATGAGAGCGGATCACTGTTGGTCCGCAGGGTGGTATAAACACTACCTCTGTCAGGACTGATTTCCTCAACCCAGGACTATACAGAAGTTTTTGTGAGATTATACAGCTTCATCACTCATCTCTCATCATGCTTTTAGGCGATTTCTCTCTAAAAGTCTCTAAACTCTTTGCTGTGGTTTGAGGATGTCGGCATAACAGGGCAGCTAGCTGGCACTTAATGCAAATCTCATAATGTGGACCTTCCTATATTTAGTACAATCACTACTGACCAGGATCTGGTCTCAGCCTCCCATGTCAAGAAAATTGGTTTTGTTATTATAACCAGTGGTGAGAGATCTGACTAAGCAAAATTCACCAAAGACTGATACTGAAGTCAGAATGTTCATTTGCTATTTTAGGGATAGAGGCTGTTTCATTGATGCCATGAGAATATTTGGAACCATTGTTCAGGGCAGCCCTCTCCCTGGAATGCAGAGCCAGTGAGCAGGTTACTTAGTGAAGATGGAACTAGAGTAAAGGGAAGTGGGACATTCTGTGGCATGACTTATCCATGCCAGGGTGAGTCTGTTATAAGGTCACTGACATATAACAAAGGCTATCCGGCCTGGGATTGAAATTCTCATGTCTTTCAGACTCAGGGTCTTTCTCTTGGGACAGTGCAGAATAAATTCCCTTATCTACTTCTGAAGATTCATTTGCTTTAACTTTATAATTCTTTCATTGTTGTTAAGGCTAAAGAGTTTTTCATATGTTTACCAGTTATTTTATTATTTCTTTTTAAAATTTTAAATATTGTTTACATTATTTTTATTGTATTTTTGTATTATTACTTTTGAGAGTTGCCTGTTTCTGTCCTTTATCTGTTTCTTAATGGTATTTTAGTGATTTGTAGAATTTCTTTATATGCTAAGATTGTTAACCCTGTTTCATGTAACGCAAAATTGAAAATTTATTTTATTGAATTACATTAATCTTATCAATTAAGACACCAGTGTCAATTTCTGTATTCCACTTATTTAGGGCAGGAAGAAATTCTAATGTATCCAAAATATTTTTATTCTGCCACTGTAACTCTTTAAATGAGACCTTCAGCATCAACATACTGAAGACTCAAATACTCCTCATATGAAAGTTTCTGATTGGTTGAACATGGGAGGTAATGCACAGATTCGGTAGACGGTCTTACATATCTCTGCATTCCATTGCCAATATTTCCAACCTCTTTCCAATGTGTCCTCCTCCACGTTTTAGCTCCATTGCTCTTTAGCTTAAACTGGATTTTGTTTTTTTGCCTTCTTATAACGAAATCAAATTCTTAACAGAAGGAAGATTTGTGACTGACCTGGCTGAAGAAGGGGATTCATTTCTTGGTGGGGTCCAATGTAATGTAATAGGCATCGTGCCTATAACTTCTATTCTTTCTGTGGCCAGTATCCCAAACTTTTGGAAATACATTTTCTGTTTCTAGCGCCTCTCTGAAGGAATTACCAATTAATTCATAGGACCTTGCCGTAAGCCAAAACATCATTTGTAGAAAAAATTGTGCCTCCCATGTTTTCCTAAGCTTAATATTTACTTTCCAATCACTCGTTTTGAACCATATCTCTAAAGGAGACATTGGATTATTTAGCCACCAGAATTAAAAGTTCCTGGTTGTCACTCTGCTGCTTTTCCTTTTGAATCCCATAGTTTCGTAAATAATCACAACTTGGACTTTCAGCATGATTCCTATTCTCCTTCTGTCCACCTTCCTTTATTCTGAGAGAGCTCCCTGCCCTTTAATGGATAGGCAGTTTTCTTTCCCCTCTAGAACAGCTCAAAGATGTGGCTTATGGTACCCGACAGATGTCACTGTGTCTGGAAACACTGCCAGCCCACAAAGATGAGGATAATGTGGACATTCCTCTGCGGCATCAGAGTGAGAATCTTTTTGAGCTGCACATCCACCAGGCCTTCCTGACATCTGCTGCTCTGGCTCAGGCTGAAGACCCTCAACTTACTACTTTCTGCACCTATTCCTTCTATGATTTTGAAACCCACTGTACCCCGCTAGCTGTGGGGCCACAGCCGCTCTATGACTTCACCTCCCAGTATGTGGTAGAGACAGATTCCTTTTTCTTGCACTACCTTCAAGGGGCTTCAGCCCGGCTTGATCTTTACCAGGCGCTAGCCAGTGAGCACCACACCCTTGCAGCTGGATGGATTTGCTTTGACAGGGTGCTGGAGACTGTGGAGAGAGTCCATGGCTCTGCCACACTTACTGGTAAGTGCTGTCGGCTTCCCACAGCTCCTGGGACTAATGCAGAATTTCCCAAAGTTGATAGTTGCTTTTCTAGTGCTTTCCCATTTCCTCTGCCTTTATTCTTAATCTTTGCCACACCATCTATATTCTCCGTGCCTTTCATACTTTCTGCTACCCAGGAGCTGGTGGAGAAGACTTCGGGGTGCTAGAATACTGGATGAGGCTGCACTTCCCCATAAGATCCAGCCTACAGGCATGCAATAAGCGAAAGAAAGCCCAGGCCTACCTGTCAGCCAATGTGCTTGGAGCCTGGAGGGCCCAGGAGGATGAGGTGAGAAAAAGGATGAGCCCATGCATCTCAAAGGAGCCTCAGTAAAGCAGCTCGTAAAAACAGCTCATTCTCCCTTTCTCGCATTGAATGTGAATGAAAGAGAAAAATTGTCACACCGCAACTAGTTCAGATTCTTTCCTTGGTCAAGCCTGAATTTGAAATGAAACCATGCCCTTGAAACTAGCTACCTCTCCCTGCTGTGAACAAAATAGCTTCTCTGTTCCATTCTCTGAGATAAGGCCTGAGTGCCAGCACTGCCCTCAGATAACCATCTGCCAGAGCCAGTTTGCAGACAGGTGAAAGTCATTAGGTTTCTCTGTGACCTAGTCAGGATTCACAGTTTCTCTGGATCATAGATCTTGCTTGTCAGGGTGCTGGGTTTCACCTACAACAAGTCTCTCAGGCTGCCCTTTTCCTCCATCCAAGACCCTCATCTCTCCAGTCCAGATTGGAGACCTGGAAGCATCAGAATGAGCTGCGGGTGGAAATCACCAGATGCTGTGGCCTCCAGAGTCCAAGACTGGGAAGCCAACCCAGTCCCTACGCCATGTACCGCTTTTTCACTTTCTCTGACCACGACACTGCCATCATTCCAGCCAGTAACAATCCCTACTTTAGAGACCAGGCCCGATTCCCAGTGCTTTCAAGCTCTGACCTGGATCAATATCTGAGGCGAGAGGCCCTGTTTATTTACGTTTTTGATGAAGAAGACCCAGAGCCTGGCTCCTACCTTGGCAAAGTTCAAGTGCCCTTGCTGCCTCTTGCACAAAACAAATCCATTAAAGGTGGGAGTTCCAGATTACTGCATCTTTAAAGTCTCTGCCCAGTGCTGTCTTTCTGTCCTAATTCTGTCCTTTTCTTTGATTACTTGCTTGGAACAGTCTCTCTTAAAACCTGCTGAAAGTATTCTAGCATATTGCCAAGAGCAACAGAGCAGACTTAGAACCTCGCTAATCACATGGAATCATTGGTTTCTTCTGCTTCTTTTCAAAAACGAAAGCAAGATTCCCAGGTTGGTAGACCCACCAGCCTGAACAAACATTTTGAGATTGTGTAGTGCTTGCCAGTATTTGTCTTTACTTAAGGCCTATTGTATCTTAGCACATGACTAGATATCAGTTATAAACGGTGTCCTTAATGTTCCTCCATCATTTTCTTGCTTCCTTTACATTAGACACGTGTTAGCAAGATTTCCATGCCATACCACGACTAAGGGAAATTTCTTGAAATTTTTTTTCCTTCAATATGGAGCTCATCTTCCTACATTACTTTCATACACAGGGTTGTGAGGCACACCCGGGAAGGGTAAACACTCTGGAAGGTGATGCAGGGGTATCCATGCTCTCATTAGGAAATGTGGATGGGGACAGCCAGTATACCAACCATGTTTAACAAGCATCTGGATGTTCCAGGAAGCGTGTGAGGCCTCTCTCCTCACAATACCACAGTGCTTAAAAAAAAAACAAACCAACAAAAAACGCTGGCACTTCTCACAACCCTTCTTTTGCCAAAGAGGAGACACAACATGAATCGTCTGTTACATTAATCAGTGTTACAAATCAAAAGTCTGGCATTTGGGAAAAGCCATGTTGCTTAAATTTTCTTGGCTTTCATTATTTTAGAAATAGGGACCACTTGAGCAAAGACCATGGTTTTCTTGGTATGCCTAAGACATAGCAAGTATTAGTAATAGTATTGTGATTTTGTTTATTGACTGGGTGACTGATGACAAGCAAGCTATACCTCTCCATAGATCCTATCCCCTCCTGAAACCTGGAGATACCCATCATTTCCTACAAATATTTTAAGATAATAATAGAAGTAAATATTCTATGGGGACATAAATATGCAAGGCCATTCTCTGTTAATTCTGAATGTATTATCATCATGATTATGTGATGAATGTTAATTAATTACAAACAAAATATGGTGAAATTCAAAAGTGGGGGAATAGATAACGTGCTAATAAATGCTCACTTGCTTATTTTATTTGATCAGCTCTCATTAACATCTGTGTGTCTCTCAGGTGATTTTAACCTCACCGACCCTGCAGGGAAACCCAATGGGTCTATTCAGGTACAACTGGATTGGAAGTCTTGCTACCGACCTCCAGAGAGCGTCCTGAAACCAGAAGCTCAGACTGAGGAGAACAGCGCCAACCACAGTTTAGAGACCTCGTCTGATGAGGAAAAGGCTCCCTTTCCTCCCCAGGTAGCAGAACTCCCCCAGTCCTGTGGAACATATTTGAAGAAAACAGCATTGAAACTGGAGCAAAAGAAGTTTTCTGTGAATGTCACATGTTATGAAGACTTAATCAGCATCCCTCGTAATGCCATGAGGCTTTTGATGGAACCAATCTCTGGGTTTTATTGTGGGGAGAAGAGAGAGATGGCATCTCTCAGCTCTGTGGCAGGAGAGAATTAAAGTCTAATGCTAGCCTATAAATTCCTATCTGAAGTATCAAGGCTGTAAAACTATCATCTTATGAGGTTGTCTCTGATCCTTGTATTTAGGACCAGCGGGTATCTGCTGAGATTCCCATTGAAGCTGACCAGTATCCAGCTAAGAGAAAACTTCCTCATGTGGGAGAAAGGAAGGAAAGGGAACACCAGGTTGCAAGTTACTCAAGAAGAAAGCATGGCAGAAGAACAGGCGTCCAAGGAAAGAACAGGATGGAGTATCTCAGTCGTAACATCTTAAATGGAAATACACTACAGGTAAGGCCTTAGAAACCCTGAGGAACTAAAATGCTGGTTGTAGTATCCCCAAATATGTTACTCTCAGGGGAAGAAATAGAAGCAGACACACGAGATAAGCAATAGTCATGGCTTTTTGTGGTTACTGTGTGTTTCCACAAACACAAGTAGTTAATTGCACCTCTAGACTGTTAGTTTCAATATAATTTAAGTCAAGAGATTATGTAATCTGCAATTTATATTTAGAACTTTAGTGCCACAGTTTTAACTCATTCACTTCAACTGTAATCAAAAGAAATTAAAGAACATGTATTTATTGAACACCTGAGCTTCTGGTTTCAGGATGCTCTCTGGAGGTCGGTAGCAAGACTTCCAATCCAGTTGTACCTGAATAGACCCATTGGGTTTCCCTGCAGGGTCGGTGAGGTTAAAATCACCTGAGAGACACACAGATGTTAATGAGAGCTGATCAAATAAAATAAGCAAGTGAGCATTTATTAGCACGTTATCTGTTCCCCCACTTTTGAATTTCACCATATTTTGTTTGTAATTAATTAACATTCATCACATAATCATGATGTTAATACATTCAGAATGAACAGAGAATGGCCTTGCACCTTTATACCCCCATAGAATATTTAATTCTACATGCTTGATATTGCTTTTTCTTCATAAGAAACTGGATTAAAGTTACTGTGTAGAAGCTAAAATTATGTATGTATGAGATTATAAACATGTACTGTATGTTATATAATTATATATTACATTATTGTTATAATTTGTATTATATATTAATGTGTAATTTTATGTGATTATTAATTTTGTTAAGTTATTATAATTATACACTATAATTACATGTACTTTTATTTGTTGTTTCTATTCTGAAGCAGGTGAACTACACTGAATGGAAGTTCTCGGGGATTAAGATCCCCGCAGATGATGATTTAGCAAATCGGCAAAAGGAAGAGGAAATGACATCATCGGTTTCAGCACTGATACAAAATGAAGCCCTACATCCTGTAAATGGTATTGTCTTATTAAAATCTAATTTTCCTATTTAATCATTGAATTATTTTATCAAGACAGTTACTTTATTTACTCATCTTCATTGCTAAACTTTTCATGGAAAATTAGTACTGGAGACCCTAGGCTCTGTGTGCTGGTTAGGCCAATTAAGGCTGGAATTCTCAAAGACAGTAGCTTTCTACGTATTTAAAGCTAGCTATAACAAGTTTAGTTACCTAGCAATTATAAGATGTTAATTCATTCCAGGGTCTTTGTGATTGTGAATTATGGTCACAAAGAAATAGGAGGAGTATGATTGGCTCCTTTGTAATGTTAATCCAAATTTCTTTTAAATTAAAGCAAGGCTTTTGTGTTACAATGAGAAGTAGACATGATTTCAGGTTATAGTTAGAGCAAACTAGGCCATTCAGACCAACAGTCCCACTGATGACAACTAAAAAGCAGAAGTTAAGATCCTGGCTGGTGTGGCTCAGTGGAGTAAATGCTAGCCTGTGAACCAAAGGGTCACTGGTTCGATTCCCACTCAGAGCACATGCCTGTATTGCTAGCCAGGTCCCCAGTAGAGTGTGCATGAGAAGCAACCACACAGTGATCTTCCTGTCTCTCTCTCTGCCTTCCCTTCTGTCTAAAAGTAAATAAATAAAATGTTAAATAAAATAAGAAGCTAAAGTTAATATATTTTTTAAAATCTTAATATTTCTTAAAAGCATTAAAGAGCCAATAAAAGGGAAGAATTACCAAACCTAGATCAAGGAATGATTGGAACTCTGAGAGAGTGAGCTGGAACTGCCTCAGCCCTGGGACATTGCTGGCCTGGAAGAAGTTCGGGAGAGATAGAACCATGCTTTTTGGTGGGCCTCGGGTTAGGGAAATAGGATGTAGTCTGACTCTGGTGTCTGCCCCAGGCAGAATTTCCCATCCTCTGGTCTGGGACCTCAGAAGGCAGCCCCATTCCGAGCCTCTTCTGCTCTGAGAGGCAGAACTGTGCTTTGGGCACTGGCAGGACGAGAGGGACAAGGGCTGACTCAGTGTGACGAGGATACCAGATATTGGAGTATCAGACACAAGCTGCATGTGTGTACTAGCTTCATGGAGATAAAACTGAACTTTAAAATTTCAGAAAGGAACTGGAACTATGAAAATTGATAGTGGAAGTTTTAAAAAACCCTTTGGTTTAAAATAATTTCAAACTTACATAAGAGCTGCATGAATAGGACAAAAAAATAATCACATAAACCCTTCACACCAATTCATCAACTTTTAACATTTTTCTGCTTTTTGCTTTAGCATTTTTTTCTGAAGCATTTGAGAATAAGATGCAAACATTATACTCCCTTTCTGCTGTCTATTTCAGTATGAAAAAAGAGATTATAAAACCAGAGTATAATTATTAAGTTTGCAAATTTAACATGGATATGTTATTACGTAATGTCCAGTCTACTTTCCAAATTTGCAAAATGTCCAAATAATGCCCACTGTAATAGGCTTCTTCCCCCTTATCTAATCTAGGACTATATACTGCATTTAGTCATTTCTCTTTAGTTTCTTTTAATCTGGACCACTTCCTCATTTTTTCTTTGTCTTTCATGATACTGACATTTTTGAAGCATATAGGTGAGCTGTTATGTAAAGTGCTCTTCCTCAATTTGGATTTGTCTAGTGATTCTTCATAACTACATCCAAGTCATGGATTTTTTACAGGAATAGCACAGAAGTAATATTGTGTCCTCACTGCATCCTAAGGTGATGCAGTGAGGACACAATATTTTTTTTTCTGTAAATAAAATATTTTAATTCAGTTTTTTTCGGTAAATAAAATATTTTAATTCAGTTTCACTTAAAAAATAAAAGTAGTTTCCTCACCCCCACTATGAGCACATTAACCACATTTTCACATAGAAAAAGCTTAGGTACATTCAACTATTTATAAGACAGGTCTCCACATAATACATTTACGTTCACTTTGTCCCATTATTGGTGATGTTAACTTTGATCACTTCGTTAAGAAAGCATCTGCCAGCCCTGACCAGTGTGGCTCAGTTGGTTGAGTGTTGTCCCGTGAAGAGAAAAATCACTGGTTTGATTCTATGTCAGGGCACATGCCCAGGTTGTGGGTTCGGTCCCTGCTTGGTGTGTATTTGAGAGGCAACTGATTGATGTTTCTCTTCCTCCTTTCTCCCTCCCTTCCCATCTCTCTAAAAATAAATAAATATTTTTAAAAAATTTTTTAAAGCATCTGCCAGGATTTTTCACCATGAAGTTATCATTTCCCTTTGTAATTATTAAGTAATCTATGAGAAGATATTTTGAGGCTATATAAATATCTTGTTCCTCATCAAATTTTACATAATACTTTTGCCATCCATTTATAGGTTGTTGCTTTCTTTTTCTGAATGAATTGCAAAATGATTGCAAATAAAAAATTAATCATAGAAATGATGGAACTGCTAAATGCAGAAATTTATGAGAGAAATATATGGGTTATAAGTAGATTAAACACAACTGAAGTGAGAGTTGGTGAAATATCCAGAATAAAGCAAAAAGAGAAAGCAAGATGGAACATACAAAGAAAAGAAAGGAGACATAAAAGATAAAATGAGGATGTCTAAGTGACACAATTAAATGTAGGAGAAGAGAAAGAAGGGGACAAATGCAATATTTAAAGAAACAACGACTTAGAGTTCTTCAGAACTAATAAAAGATATTAAGATTTAATTAAGTGAAACTCCATCAAGATAAGTAAAAAAATAAAATCTAGGCATATCAGGGTAAAGTACAAAAAATAAAATTAAAGAGAAAATATTAAAAGCATCCATTTAAAAGGAAAAGACAGCTATGAAGCATTGGTAAGATGCTAACTGACTTGTCAAGAGCTACAACTCTAGTTGGAAACCAATGGCAAGATACCTTCAGTGTACCAAAAGAAAACTGCCAACCAAGAATTCTTTGCATGCCAAAAATATCCTTCCAAACTGAAAGCAGAACAGACCTTTAAAGACAAACTTAAATGGAGAGTTTGTGTCCAAACTACATTTTAAAGAAAACTTTAAGGTTTTTCTTTGGGTTGAAGGGAAATGATCTCAGAAGAAAACGCAAAGATGCAACAAGGAATGAAAAAGCAAAGAACATGGGTTAATTTAAATGACTGTATAAAACAAAAATATTAGCTTGTGGGGTTTAAATTATATTCACAATTTAAATGAATAATGTAGTGGGTTCAGTGGTGGCCCCCCACAAAAGATATGTCCATGTCCTGAACCCCAGGACCTGCAAATGTGACCTTGTTTGGCAAAGGAGTCATTGCAGGCGAAATAAGAGTCTCTAAAGATCTAGCGATAAGGAGATCGTGCTGGATTATCCGAGTGGACTCTAAATTTAATGGAAGTAATTTTGAGGTTAGACATGTGCAGAAGAAGAGGAGGCAATGTGATCATGGAGTCAGAGAGTAGAGGGATGTGACCACAAGCCAAGGAATGCCTGGAACCACCAGAAGCTGGAAAAGGCAAGGGTAAAAAAGAAAGACAGATTGTCCCCTAGAGCCCTTGGAGCGAGCATGACCTTCCTAACACCTTGATTTTGAACTTCTGGTCTCTAAACCTGTGAGAGAATAAATTTCTGAGTTTTTTTCCTTCTTCATGAATGCTTTAACTTTATTTCTCTTAATATACCTGAGATATAGACATTTCATTAATACAAGGTTAAGTGATTTGTACATGTTTCATGTAAGCCAGAAACACAATCAAATCTAAAATAGCATCCAACCCATCAACTAGCATGACTGAGAGAATTAATAGTCCATTCACCATCACCTTGAAGATCTATTACTTTACTGTAGAATGAATGACTCTACAGAAAAGAAAAAAAAGGCATAAAGCATAAAATGAAGAAGTCTAAGTTACATTTAACTTAATGTACAAGAAGAGAAAGAAGGGGGACAGGTAATGTTTAAGGTAATAGGTATAATTCATATCTACATTCAAAAAATGAAGTCATAAACAGAAACTCTGTTTTTTTCTGGTACTTTGATTGTCACTCTCAATAGTCAGTTGTGGGTTGCTTTCTTTGATTTCCTTCGGTAGCTTCTGGATTGGAGCATCAGATTTATCTGTCTTTAACCTGCGTGTTCGGAGGGGACAATTTTGAAGTTTTGAGGCTTCACGCACCTTATTTACTCCACTAAACCTCTAAGAAATTCTGGCTCAAGTCTAGAGTGGTTAGGTTCTTGCTCCTGTTGAGGTCTATACAACTGAAAGAAATGATGGTACATACCCACAAACACAGACACTTCAGGTTACACAGAAAAGCCTCACACAGAAACTTCAGTAATTCCTATGTGATTCAGCCCCAGATTCAAGAGTGGTAGGCTGACTTGTTTTAGAGAAGCTTTGAGAAGTAATTGCAGCCATCATTGGTTATGTGCAACACCATAGTATCAGGATCTGTAGTTTAGTTTGGGGATAACTCAAGCCCTCACACAAATGATTCACCCTGCCACCCACAGGGCATTTTTTGCTAAGCACATGCGTGTCAGCCTCTGGTTGAGGATCAAAGCAGAAGGGAGCTCCTTGTTGTCTTCTGTAAGGTTTCTGTACAGTGTCACTTTTCCAAAGACAACCTCAGGAGGAAACACTTTAGGTGTCCTAAAGTCATGCACAGCAGCTTGACACCTTTATCCAGGAGCTCATTAGCCTGAGGATCAAGGCACAAACAATGAACTATCAGGAAGAGAAACTAAGAAAGAAAAATTCCACTTACCATAGCAACAACAAAAAAGTACCTAAGAATAATTTGAACCAAGGAGGTAAAAGATTTGTACATGGAAAACTACAAAACACTGAAGAAAGAAATTGAGGAAGACACAAATAAATGGAAGCATATACTGTGTTCATGGATTAGAAGAATTAACATTATTAAAATGTCCATACTACTCAAAGCAATCTATAGATTCAACACAATTCCTATTAAAATACCAAGGGCATATTTCACAGATCTAGAACAAA